AAAAAAAAAAAAAACTGTGCGACGAATCTTATCGTATGTATTCAATTGTTATTATTATTCACATTTATTTAAATATTGAAATTGAATGATGATTTTAAAATTATTATATAATAAATACCACGATTATATGGATACTATCACAATTATTAAATCGTTGATTTAATTTAACACTTTCGGGAAAATATTACGTGATATCTCTTCAAAGAAAATTCTAAGTTTGAGATTGGAAAGAATTCTGAATGTTTTCGATTCGAGATTTAATATTTCGAGAAATTTGAATTTTGAAAGTTTCTTAAATGGATTTCATTTCCTTCAGAATATTCTAGAAACACCAGCGATCACCGGGTGAAGTAAATGAAGTGAGAAAATCTCTTGGTAAGTACAAGAAAATTGAAAGCCAGCCATGTTTCGAGCTGCTCGCGTCGCCGAAGTGACATTTTTTACAAAAATTCTGATTAAATATCCGAAACTAAATTTAAAAAAAAAAAGGAAGAAAAATATACAACGAGTTGAAAAATAAATTAAATAATTCAAGTTCATAAATTGATTCACATTCAATGAGCAGCAGAGGTTGGATGGAAATTAAATTCCTAGTTTAGCTGCCATTTTTGATTGAATATATCTTTCAACCTTTACTTTTACAGTTGAATAATGAATTAATCGATTAATTGCTAAAGCTTCTTTTCGTGTTAAAGATAAACAATGTCTTCCTCTCTCTCTATTCGTTACAGTCTCAAATACAAATACAACAAAATTTTAATTTAACTGAAATTTCAATAGAATTTGATTTCACTAATAAATTCCAATCAAAATTCTAAATATCTAAAACAAAAAAAAAAACCAACAGTTCCTTTAATTCTATTCATTCCATCGATCAATCAACCGTTAATCATTCATCGATCGACTAAATGGATCATCCAATTTGCGAAGATGAATTCTTTTTTAATCCATCAAACAGGACAGATACACACCACAGTGGATGGAAATTTATTTGCGATTATCTTCTTGACGGATTACCGCACTGTATTATGAATGATGAATATTGAATGGTGTTTGCCTTGCGTTACATTATATTGAATTATACGTAAATAATGACTTGGGATCATGAAATCTTCATTTCAATTTTTTTTATTTCAAATAATAGTACCTAGAAACTGGAGCAGTCTTCTACTACCATTCATTATATAAATTTTTGAAGAATCATACTAACTGACCGATATAGCGTTTTTGCAAACAATATCGTCGTATCGCGTCCTTCTGAAAGCAGAATAATTACGCGATCGAACTGTTGTAAATATTCACTGACTGAATTACTTCATGATGATTTGCATAGTGCATCAGTGTAAATATTCATTCAAGACATCGAAACAACGTGAACTCGTATTAGGATTATTCAACCAGCCGACGATTTCTTCTGTAACTAATAATTAATGATAAATCAACTATTATATGGTACTCCGCGCAGCCTTTTGAACACTCTGAGAGAATTCTTTGAAAATTGCATCTGCATTGCTATGAGAATTGCTATGATGCCACGGTTGCTTGTTGATAAAGTTTGAAGTAAATTCAGATATATATATATATGTATATTACACAAAATTGACGTTGTTAAAAGGCAAAAACAAGCCTGTTACATCTGACATACATAAATTAATTTATACTCACTCTCGACTCTCGTTGTACGTTTCAACAAACGATACTCTACCAAAAAACCATGATCGGTTCAGAGGAAAGCAGAACAACAATAAAAATGACGGAACACTCAGTCATCTGTGACAACATGACCGACTATGTGAGCCACACTCGTGGCCTGGACCTCGGTCAGCTACTTTCCTTCGGCATTTTGAACAACACAACATGCTTGGAACACGCCCCGCAGCTGACGACAGTCACCGTGTCGAAGGTGATCGTACTGACAGTGATCGCGATCCTCAGTTTCATAGGCAACGTAGCGACCGTCTACTCGATCGCGATGAACCGACAAAAACAGCAGACTTGGTCGGCGATTTACACGCTGATCTTGCACCTGGCGGTCGCTGATTTGTTCGTCACGGTGTTCTGCATCGGGGGAGAAGCGTTGTGGAGTTACACCGTGGCATGGGTCTTTGGAAACGTCGCCTGTAAATTGTTCAAGTTCGTACAAGTGTTCAGTTTGTACCTGAGTACATTCTTGCTGGTGTTGATCGGGGTGGATAGATACTTCGCTGTGCGGTACCCCATGAAAGGGGTGATCACTCCCGAGAGATGTTGCAAGTTCGTGGCTTTTGCGTGGATATTGTCCCTCGTACTGGCGACGCCTCAGGTAAGAAATTATGTTTTTTTTTTTTTTTCATGACCATGTCGCACGCGTTTTACATACATTTCGAAATTTCATTAATACTGCGTATATATAGATACATCGGTAGATATATTTATATGTATATGATACGATACAGTAATAAATATGTGAATGATATACTCCAAAAATTGAGAGTATATCAAAATTTTCCAAATAAATAAATAATAACTTTATTCATGATGTTATATTTTTGTCGTACTAAAACTTCAATTAATTATATTTAAAGATCAACTAGATAGAATACTAGATAACAAAAAACAGGAAACTAAATAGTAAAATCATACTACTAACGATAAAGTTAGTAATCTGATCATGAAGATCAAAGTAAAAACTACTAAATAAAATTCAATGAATACTAGAAAATTAATTTCTAGGTAATGGAAAATATTAGAGAATTAAAAAATTGTCTTATTTCCTGCTAATAAGAACTACACTATACTGCTTCAAAGATATTGAAAACGAATGTTATATATATTTGTGTATTTTTTTCACTGTCAAAAGTTTCATGTACAAAACAAATCAGATACGACATACTATTAAAAATCAATACACAAAAACTACGTACACAAAAAGGAATAACTAATCTGATGTAAAAACTGAAAGTATACAAATATGCATTTTGTATCCTACTTTTTTTAGACCTTCATTCTTCACTCATACGACGATAATTTAACATTGCTCTTTCACTGATTTTATTATATCCTCTTACGCTACTGCAAAAGATGATGTATTAAAAGTTATTAGTTATAGTATATTAGTTATAGTATATTGATGTATTAAAAGTTACAAGTAATCCATAATATTTTTTTTTTTTCAATTAAAGTGAAAATTTCAGAACTAATGCAAGCTGAACTTGGTGAAATAAATAAAGTAAACGATTAAGTGACAAGATGAAAAAAATTTTAAAATACTAAGCAACTTTAAGAAATAATGAACGAAATTTAGAATTAGATAATAGAATTAGATAGTTGGCTCGATAAATGAGAGATCTCCAGAAATGCAAGGTACTAAATGGCAAAGTGAAATTTTCAAAGTAGTAAACCACACGACAGAAAATCAAAAATTGCCCAATAACGAATCAAAAACTTTCTAAATAAACATTTCCAAAATACCATACCATCAAATAGTTAAATCGCTAAAATAATAAGTACACTTACCATCGAATATTTCTAATCCGTTACTGAAGAAGCAGTGGACAAGAAGGTTTTCTCACTGGCCACCATAAGTCTTCAATGGTTCGAACGATCTCTTACTGAGAAATTTCTCGACTGCATGTTGCGGTGTATCTGACCTTTTCGTTCTATCTGAATCAGCTTTCCTTAGATTTCTTCCTAGACCACCACATCGGCATTTTCTCCTCCTTCTTCTCCTCCTTCTAGCTCGTCCTCTAACTCTTCTTCTGCTTCGTCTTCGTCTTGGTCTGCATTTGCAGAACGTTCTCCGTCCACGTCTACGCCTACGCCGTCTCTTTTCACATTTGCAGCCCATCTTCCTCTGCCTCCTGGTTCTGCGACAGGCGTCCAACAAGTTCACCTCCTGTTCGGCGATTTCTTGGAATTTTATGTCGCCATTTGTTGGCAGAATGTAATGGCCACGATCCTCCTTTAGGATACCGTATGCCACGCCACGTTTTAAGGCGGTCTGCATCTGTAGATACGCGTTACACGTTGAATAATTGTTGAAGAGAGATCCATCGTGTACCATGTCAGTTGACGGATATACGTCATTTTGGACAGTACATGTATAAAATACAGCTAAGAGTGTATATAACTGAATCAAGAACGATGGAAAATTGTCGATAATTTAAACTATTATTACATCTTCGTAAAAGAAAATGGTATAACAATCCGCTTAGTCTCAAGCATAAAGCCTCTTCTTCAACTGCTCTATGTTTATTCGTTTTCGAAGATGATTTTAACAAAAACTTGTCAAATCAGAGGGTTCACGCTTTAAAGTGTTATCAGATGATCTTCACAAAGTTACAACGATTAAAATTATCATAAAGAATTTTTCATCATCGCTGATCACTGTATATTTCAAATAAATGGTTTGATTCCTGCAAGCATATGATACATATAATAAATAGCAATAACAACTGAAATATCTCGCTCGAATAAGTCGCAAATATTAACGTGAATAGAGAAGAAATAATTGGAAATGCATGAAAATTTATTTAATACCATTAAATACTATTGTTATATAATGTTGAATTTATCACATTCAGTAAAAAAACAGTTTGGAATATTATTCTACTATATTATGTACTGGGAAATCGCCAACCTGACGACGTGCAACAGCTGGCGGAATATCATACACTGACGAGAGATAATGTAAAATTTCTTGAGACGTCGAGCCCTTCAACTCGCGAAGATTTTTTATTGCCGTAATGACCAGCACTAGAATTCTTGCCGAATCACTCACCATAGTTCTATCGTCCTCAAACTGTAAAATAAATCGATCAATGATTGAAATCACATTTAATTTCAAACTACTTTTAAACTAATAATTGTATCATTACTGTATTATTATGATTACTATCATTATTATTATATCACATTCAACAGATGTAATTCTTTGATTTAAATAATTGATTTAAATCCTGAATTAGGCCAAGATATTTGACCAATGCTTAACATTTTAAACTTAAAAATAGATATTCTTAATTTATTAAATGAAAGATTCAACAAATTCATTTCAGAAGCCAATATCATTACTCCAAAGATATATTTACATTGAAAGCTACGCCTGTAGTAATATATTTCACAAATTTTAGAAAAGAATGCATATTTCAATTCAGGAATGCATTTCATCAATTTTCTTCACTTTCTGTGAAGTTAATCGTATTGTTAAATAACAGAAGCAATTCAAATGTTTCTAATGGTACAAAAGTGAGTTTTATTTTTATTTCAATAAATTCCAATTATGACGTTAAAATCGAAGTTGACTCAATGATTTGAAGTACATTTTCAATTGAGAAGAAAATTGATTAAGTGTTTCTAAGTTTTTTAAACGTTTGTTTAAACTATGATACCTGATATTTAATTCTTACTCGAAAGTTAATATGCGATACTTCGTTTATCAAATGTTGATTTATTCGCGAAACATAATTTATTCACTCGTAAAAAAACACGAAAACGCTCATTAAATTGCAAATTATTTTAAATAATTCTGTCCGTTTTTATTTTTTTATTTCTGCATACGTCATTCGCTGATATTATTCAGCTGGTGCATAAGAAAGTGTCGTTTGCGTGAAGTCTGAATTCGTCAATTCAATTTTCAATATTAAAATCAAATACAAATTTTTCATAAAAATCTTCATGAATTTTATAAAAGATTCATAATGATGCATTCGTAGAGATTTCAATGACTTTCTTCTAAAATATATGAATAAAATCTTACAATAAAGAGTATAACAATCACTTATTACATGATAGAAATAGTTCAATTTGTTAACAATTTCTAATATTGCGAATATCTTTTTAGCCTGTAGCAAGAAATACTCATTGATGCAGTTTTACAAATTTAATTTGTTCACGTTTGTTTAAAGAAACATATAAATAAATCAAAAATACGATTTCGTACAGAATGAACTGAAAAATATTACAAGGATCGTTCAATTTTTAAAATGAAAAATTGTCTTCAAATCATTCTTGAATAACATTTACACAATAAGTTTGACAAATAAATAAATAATTAATAATACTGAGATACGTTCGATCTTTAAATTTCGACAAGTCATTCTTTTAAATGCGTAGCACACATATCGCAGCAAATGAAAAATAATCGAAACGAGAAAAACAGCGTACCTTGACATCAATAACAAATCAATAAAATCATTTACCTAAGCTCGGTTCGTATATCATTAATCTATGACTCTGTTGATTCTAATTCTCCCGAAAATTGAACACAAATACAAGGAATTTTAAGATGTAATTTAACAAGCCAAAAGTTTTTCTTCTGTCACAATTACTGTAAAATGGACAAATTGAACATCGACGTTTACAAATAAAACGATATTGTTTCGAGCACGATTGAGGCAGCTTTGTCGAGACCTTCGGCGAAAAATATTTCCCATCAAGATCGTTCGAATTGCCAAAGGATATTTAGAAGTCTCAAGCTAACAAACATGTTTAGAGATCCCTGAAAGCAAATAATAATTAATTGTACGAAATCTTTATTGCATACAAATTTTTGCATAAAGCACTTAAATGTGAAAAATATGTGGTCATTAACATTGTAAATTCATGTTGCAGTATATTTTTCTTCCTCTTGTATATACAAATTCATCCTATGATAAGATATTTATTAAACGACACAGTAACGAAGCACAGTTTTGTTTTTCTATACGTGATTTCTAAAGAACAGAAAAAATTGCATATAAAAGAACAGAAACAGTAATTTGACAATATTTTGTTAAATAAGTATTAAAATAAATCTGTTTCGAAGACGCAAATGGACAGAACATTATTAGAAGTGCTGCTCTGTAAATTGCCGTAATTAATTGCGATATTTAATTTCTCATAAATTCGGAGATAAAATGATGTGATCGAGAAATGAATTATTGTGCCAATAAATTGAAGGAGGATTAATTAATTGAATACTTAAATTAACAATCGGAATTCGAGCAAGCCAAATTTTACATTTTAAACGACTAGTATCTTTAATTGCAAATAAATCAAGTAAATCAATACAACCTTGCGATATTTTTTAATAATTAATTTTAATTTAATTTTATTTTGATTTAAAAATACGTGATCAGTCACGGAAGTCTGCAAACTTTAAGTATCTGAAGAAAAATAAAGATTTTGTACGTATTATAAACATTAATTTATTTATTAAATAAAGTTACACGAATTTTGAAAAACGATGTTTCTCATATTTATTTATTAGAAAATGTATTTTCTATTTATTTTCTATTTATTAGAAAATGTATTTTCGTAAGATCGAATTATTTACGTGATCTTTTAAACAAATATGAGAAGTATTTATCTAGAATTTATCTAATTTTAACTAACAAATCAATAAAATGCCCAAAATACTTATTTTTCTTTTCTAAATATTTGTAAAAATTTCTCTGTAAACTTCTGTGACTGACTGTATATTATGTAGTTAAATAATTTGTTCACAAAACTATTATTCATTAATTTGCAACAAAGTAGATTATATTGAAATCAAATAGTAACCTTTCATTTTGTTTGGGTTGGTAATTGACATTTGATATTTGTTATAATTTTCAGATTATTATATTCCGCATAGTTGAAGGACCATTCATTGAAGAATTTAAGCAATGCGTGACCTACGGATTTTATACAGAACCCTGGCAGGAACAACTTTACTTGAGTCTCACTTTGTTCTTTATGTTCATTCTTCCTCTCACTATACTCGTCGTCACCTACATTTCCACCATAATTACTATCTCTCGTAAGTATTTTATTCTCATTGCCAGACGGCGGATTTTTATGCGAATTCATATTTTTCTTTTATAAAAAAAAAAAAAATTACAAGGAGTTATTAACTATTTAAAATCCTAAAAGTAGATAAATGATTATTCTATTTACTAGTTATGATTATTCTATTTACTAATTACTATTAATTATACTTAATAAATTATTAATAATATAATAATATAATATTTAACTATTATATATGATATTTAAAATGATTAATAATTGAATATTATTATACTTTATTATTGAATATCTACTCAGTAATACTCTACTCTATATTAATAAAGTCTATTTTATTTTAAACTTATTTATATAATTTTGCTCATTATGTATGTACATTCTGCGTATTTCAATGTCTATTTTATACATGGTTTTTGCTTATTTTATGTTGCTCGTTTTTTGTCTATCTTTTTTATTTTTATTTATTTTTTCATCACAAAATATAAATACATAAAAGCTCACAGTCCATTCATGATACCTATACAGTAATTCAATCCAGCAGCAAATGATATATATGTAATTTTAGGAAGCGAAAGGATATTTAAATTAAAGTTAACTAATAATAATATACGTCACGTGAACGGAAACATTAACCGGAGGAAATTAATGCATCGAGCAAAGGCCAAATCGTTGAAAATCAGTATCATTATTGTAGCTGCCTTTATTCTTTGGTGGACTCCGTATTATACAATGATGATCATTTTCATGTTTTTTAATCCTAGCGAACACGTAAGTAATTTGAATATAATATTTGACAATCATTGCGAAAAATAATTTACTGAAAATCAATTACCTTATTTTAAAATATTGTAAATATAAATGTTAGGTTATGTAATGAGTTCGTTCGTCTCTCAAAAATATTGCGTAATCATTGCATTCATTAACTGCAATAAACAAACACATACGACTAGCAACAAACATTACAATTAATTGAAATATTGTTCCAATGTTTTGAAAAACTTCTCTTCGTGAATAATGATGGATTAATTAATTTTTATATTGAATCAACTCCACTTTTTTGAAGTCCTCAATTTCATTATTTAAATAAAGTTTCATTTATTGTAAATTCCAATTTTTTCTCAAAAATTGCGAAAAGTTGTAAAACTAAGTCTTTTCAAAGTCATTAGCCTGAAATAATGAGCACTATTATTATAAATATATCCATACAAAAGAAAATAAATAAATCACACATATGCAAAAATATTCTTTGGAAAAAAAAAGTGAATGAACTTAAGATTATCCTACGAAATATGTTATTAATCATATTTTATATATGCAAACATAAGATAATAATTATTAATACAATAATATAAAATATAAAGTTAAATGGAAAGTACACATGCGGATACATGTCGCCATATTGAATAATAATAAACGATCGTGAGTGTCCCTCTATCAATCAATACGGTAATCACATCGGTATTGAAGGGAGACATTGTTGCTGCTCAGCATATACGAATTGAAACAAGATTAGAAAGTCTTCGATATTTTCAGCCGAGCAAGGAATTCAAGGAAATAATCTTTTTCTTTGGCATGAGCAACAGTTTGGTAAATCCTTTAATATATGGTGCGTTTCATCTGTGGCCACGAAAAAAACATTCCGCTCACAGGTACATTAATAGAGTCGAACTTCGGTAAGACACATTTTTCTTTCGCTCTCTGTTGCACTCCACTATAATAAATACCTATAAATTTGATTTGAATTAATTTGAATTATTTGTCACACGTTCATTTATTTGCATATCTTACCTCTGTAATTCGAATTCAGTTGATCTTTGTAAGTTTACTTTTAGATATACGTTATATACATTACTCTCAAGTATTTGAATCATTAATGTTTGTTACATTTTCAATTTTTGTAATAAAAGAACATTTCTGTATTGTTAATCCCTTATCAGATTCAGCTGATCTGCTAAATTAAAGAGAATTACTTTTAAGTCTTAATTTCTGAAGTGTCAACAATCCTACAAAGATTCACAAGATAAAACTTTTTAACAAAAAGACAGAAGTTTTAGAATGACATGAAAGAAATAAGTTAGCTATTTAGTCCATTTACAAAGAATGACATATAGATAAATAATATTTAAATTATTAATTATCTCGCGACAATAATCTTCCACGCTTTTGTAAAAAAATGTCAACAAACTAACTAAACATACTAATAATTAATTTTATCCACAAATATAATGTATTTGACAACATTTTGCAATTTTCAGAGAATTATCCACGACGCAACGCAGACTCACGCCAACGAATTGTGGAAGTAACGGCAAACGAGAATCACGAGAAACGCAAACGCCATTTATACAGAAGAATAATTCAAATTATCAATAATATTTGATTGATATTAACGAAGAAGTCAAACACAAATCAAATCGTATTTTATAAAAAAAGTTTGAAATTTTAACTTTAAATTTACGTCAATCATCGACAATAACTAAAATAACTATAAGTTAAAATCCTGTTCTCATATCTAGTCCTTACTTTTAAGAATAATTAATTATTAAGACTACGATACGTCTATCAAATAGAAAGTGTCGAGTATTTGAACGTTAACTAAGATATTCGAAAATAATATAGTATAAAGAGTAATGTAGCATGTATCATATGAATATTTAATACTGTAATAATATACATATATTTAAAAAATTCATATTGTAAATTCCTTCGTTTTATGCTTTATAAAATATTGTATGTCTTTTATATATAAGATATATAATATATAACTTTTATATATAAAGTATATAATATTGTTAGTTTCGAAATAAATTTATTTTTCTCAAAATTACTAGCTAGTAAGTACTCTACTTTGGATTTTTGTATTTTTGCAACTTTATATTTCTCAAAAATACACAAACACTTGTGATCTAGTTACGAAAAAAGAAAATATCAAATAACTTGTAAAATATATACGTAAACTTTGCAAAGTCACAACTCAAATCTCCGATCCTAAGTTTACTAATATTCATTTTATTTTTTGTATTTTTATTTCATGCATCTATGTATTATAAATAGTTTAACTTTGCACAGTGAATTGCGCATAAATACAAACCTTATTGAAAAGTATTCTCTCGATTAATCAATAAAGTAAAATATACAATTGTTATGAATTTAAGGATTTTTTTCTAAATAAATAACTTAAAAAAAATTACATGGTCATTTATATTATTCTCTATTTCTCGTATACTTATACTTTCACGTGTGCTTATAAGAACTCTGTCTCGCATAACTCATACGTATCTTTAAAGAAGTGATTCTATCATTCAAGTATCAAGAAAAAATAATACTTAAAGTATTAAAATTATTATTATTTTTTATATGGTAAATAATTTTGTATTTGTGTCATCTATAATTCATCACATCATTACTAAAATATTTTTTAAAGATGTAAAATAAAATGCAATATAGGTTATGTTACAAACATTATTTGTAAATAATGAAGAAATTTTGTAAGATGGTAAAAATGCAAAATATAATATTAAATAATTAAAATACAAACATTACTTTTCAGAAATGATAATGGCAAATAAAAATAGTGTGAAGTCTTTAAAGAAAAACAAAAGGCAAGTAGACGACACATATAATAATGAATCATTAAATGATTATAAAATTTCTTCAGTAGTAGAAGAAAAAAAAGAAAAAAAAACAATTCTAACAAAAATAACACAGAATGCAGAGAATGCTCATGCTGATAGGAAAGTTAATAAAAAGTTATCAGCTAATAATAAGATTTCTCCAATAACAGAAAAAAAGAAACCAAAAGAAAAAAAAGCAATTGCAAAAATATTAACACAGGATTATTCTGCTAATAAGAGAGTTAATAAAAAGTTATCAAATAAAAATAAAATTTTTAATTTTGAAACTAATCAGACAGACATAGATTCAAGAAAAGATTGCACTGATGATGAAGAAATAAATAAAAGTCATGATTTAAGTAAAACTCCAAGAAAAAATAACATAGAAAATTTAGAAAACATAGAGAATTTAGAAAACATAGAGAATATTAAAACAGAAGATATACATTTACTTGAGACTCCAAAAAAAAGTGATATATCAAAAGATTTAGAAAGCACAAACATTAAACTAGAAAGCACAAACATTAAAATAGAAAATGCAGATACTCCAATAAAATCGACTATTAAATTGGGTATTGATTCAGTAGAATGGCATACACAAACTGAAATATCATCAGTATCTAAACAAAAGAGGAGACATCTATATGATGAAAGTACACCCAAAAAAAGAATAAAAAGAAATCTTAATAGTGATATTAGTAATTGTGATCAATTATTTGATATTGAAAAAAAAGAATTATGCGATAACGAATTAGATGATTTTGAACATATTGAAATGATACATGATCCCAATTCTTTGATAAACTTTGAAGAAAGTACAATTTTTTGTTCAGCAAATGAAGTCATGCCAGATGATCAGAATATAGAAATATCTAGAGACTCAAAGTCTGATCCGCTTTACATTACTGATAATGATAATATTAGTATAGCTCATGAAAATATAGAAAATGAAGAAACAAATACAGGAAATAAGATTAAAAGAAAAAGAAAACATAAATCTAGTAATACTGATGTAGATTCTGATGTAGATTACGAGTTTTCTGAACATGATTCAGAAGATTTGGATTTTAATATACCATTAGAAGATGAAAATGAATTAACTGAAGAAGCAACAAAAGTAAATATCTGCATCAAGATATATTATACTTCACATACATTATTTTATTAACTTATTTAATTAACTTATTCTTTCAGAGATTATATAATTTGAAAGTAAAATTAATACATAAAGTACCAGTACAACATAAAATTGAACATACAACAGGCTCAAAAATATTAACAAAAAAAGAGAAAGAGCTATTCTTAAAACATTCATCACTAAAAAGTGGTGTATTTACACCCAGTGAAGATAAAATTATTATAGATAATTGGAAAAAATTTTGTAAAGTATGCTTAATTACTATTATACCATATTCCTTTTCTATTCATAATTTTTCATATGCAGGTTCACAATTGGAATTCTAAATGTGTACATCCATTCATTCAAATGAAATATACTGGTAAATTTTATATAAGAAGCATGGAAGAAAGACAAAAATTCACTCAATTTTTAGCAAATGGATTACCACGAAGGACATTGTATAGTGTTTTAAATAGATTCAAGTACTTATTTGGAAACCATGAAAAAAGTTTTCAAAGGTATTTGAAAATTCAAATATTAATTATTTATATAATATCAATTATTTATGTATTTTATAGATATACATCTGCTGAAGATGAGACAATTTTATCTTACTTGAACAATAAACAAAATAGGAAAAGATTACGTAGATTTTCAGAATTAAGTAAAATATTAGGACGCTCAAGTCATTCAATTTGGACACGTTATCAACGGCTTGAACGGATGCATAAAAAAAATAAAGAACGTAAGTTTTTTACCTAATATTGCAATTTTTATAATTTTAATAATAAAATAAATTTAATTATTTTATCGCAGAATTGCCTAAAATTACATGGTCATTATTTTTAATTGAAAAATTTATAAAAACTTTTATGAGTGTAACACTATGTGATAATATAGAAGATTTAAAAGATGCTGTTATTCCAAAAGTGGTTTGGCAAAGATTAGAAAAAAAAATAGGTATAAACCATGATATATTGAGGAAATTCTGGATATATAAATTGCATATGCAATTATTTTGTCCAGAACGTATTTATTTAAATGATATAAAAATAAAATTAATTGAATAGTAAGTTTATAACGTACAGAAATACAACATAAATTTCGTTATCTCTTTGAATCAATAATCGTCTTATATAAAATACTAAAAATGTGCTAAAAATTACATTACAGTATTTATGTAAAAGGAATCTCGAATAATCGAGAAATAATTTGGTCAAAAGTTGCAAAATATTTTGATGGAATTACTACTGCCTTTTTATGTAGAACATTTTCTAATCTCGTTCAAGAAGCAAGTCAAAAAATAAATACAAAAGAATTTCTTGGTAAGTTTTTAAATTAAGCAAATTAATATTAAGTGCTTTGTTCCATAATAATAATTTTCACATTGTATCTTTTAGAAATCATGGAATATTTATATAATGAAAAGATACAAACTATAAAGGATGAAGTAACTGATAAATTTCTTCCTAGACTCTGTTATAACGGAAAAGTTAAAATTGTAGCTGAAGACTTGAACGAAGATACCAATACGGAATAATTAAGTAAAATTTTGTACTACTTTTTAATGTAAAAAAATGTTTGTAATATATACATTAATTTTTAAAAAGACATAATTTATTCAATAATGATTATGCGATATTGGTACATCCGAATAATTTTTTTATACAACTTAGAAAATCAAGATTTAAACTTTATTCTTCTTTGATTCTTTCTCTATTGCCTTTTCCTTTGCTCTCTGGTATAGAGGTACTAATTTACCTTCTTTAGCAAGCATTTTGAGCAACTCCATTATTAATGGTAAATAATTATGTTTTCTTCTAATATTTTCAATCTGATATCTTTTAGATTTTCGAATCTCTTTTTCTATCAATGTTTGTAAACGTTCCAATTCTGCAGGATCACAGACATTTGCTATTTGTCGTTCATACACTATTTTTCTATCTGTTACTATTGCCATTAAATTAAAATGTATTTCCCCTTCATTATATCTGCAAATATAAATTGCAATGATTGCACAGTGAAATAAATGATTATATAAATTAATTGATATTTACTTATTTATTCGTTTTCGTATTATTGGTTTAACTGCTTGAACCCATTGATCGCCAAGTGGACAAGGACCTAAATCCATAGGTCCATCTTTTAATCCATCTAATTCATATAACCGTCCATCAATAGGAACATAGCTCACAAAATGAAATACATCATCATCTTTAGATGCTTGTTTTGAATCATATTCAAATATTGTTTGCCTGTATAAATAATGATTACTTTATACATAAACAATTTATTTCTAATATTAATAAAATATTCAATGTGTATCTCTGAAAAATACCTCGAGAAGGAATTGTGTACTTCTCTTATCACATCAGAGTTGCTAAGAGCAAGACCTCTCATGTTAGCATCAAAACTTTGACAAAAATTTTTAAACTCTTCCAGATTTGGTCCCAGTAATATATCAGAATGTTTGCAATTCAGTAATACACTCATAATTGCTTGTGTTGCGCAAGCATTATTGATCACCTGAAAGTAATTTTTTCATATTTTTATATTTTAATTTATTATTAAGTAACATTTAATAACATAGGAAATACCTGTTTAGCAAAAAATATTTTGTCCAACCTATTATCGAGAACAATACTTCCAGAAGGCTCGTCATCTTGCACCCATTTAAATAGAAAGATCAAGCCATGTATAGGCCTAATAATAAAAAAATTAATCTTAACGTATCATAAAAAATAAGGGAATAATTAATTTAAATTCATTTATTTTTCTCAAAAATTTATATGCGTGTGATTACAAATTTATGAATTTCAATCTGAGATTAACTTTTGTTATTTTACTATCATTTATAAGAAGATATTAAATTACATTACAATTCACATTCGTTTGTACTATGAAATAGAAAATAAATCAATAAATAATTTAAATATGATGTTGTATAGGTTATATTGTACGAGTATAATACTCACTTCAAACTATCAAATTGTTCGTCATCCAAGCTCCATAATTCTTCCACTTGAGCACCTTGAACACCTTTAATGGAGAGAAATCATAAATGCTTTGTAAATATATAATTTTAAACGAATAACATTTAAAAATGCAAATATTCAAAGCAACTGTCAATAGGCATGGGTATCTTAACGTTTAAATTTATGTTTAAAATAACGTTTCAATTATTCTCGATAAAATTCAAATAATTAGGAATATAAATGTAAATAAAATCAATCGAAATTTACCAAATTCTTTTATCAACTCCGTAAAAACTCCAGGATCGCTTTCAATAAGACACCAATTGCCTGCTGAGTCCGCCATGTTTAATCTATTTATCACGCTCCAAAATACAATACTCACTTAATGCTCACTACTGCTTTTATAATTGGAAAAATTTACAACGTATCTACAAAGTGAATTACATTGTCACAAACGAGCATTTCCCTTTATTAATATTTAGATCATACATAAATCATTCTTCATTAATACTTAAATTAGTATTATAAAAATTAATATCAATATATTCAAAAATTAAAAAATATATATTAAATTAAAATATTTGCTACTATAATCCTTGTTTGAAATTCCTTACAATTTTAAGAAGTAAATCAAATAATTAATAAATATTGATAAAATTAAACAATTCAAATACTTAAATATTGAAATTTTATCAAATAAAAACGTTCATATTGAAATATTGAAAAGCACTTGTACAAAATTATTTTGGTGTTTTCAATTCTTGAATAATCTTTTACTATTCTACAAGCGGTATTGTATTATTAAGATCGACTGATTAAATAAACGTAGGTAGGGATGCATGTAGCATCTTAAGTGTAAAAGTTGAATTCAAATTGCAAGCACAGCCTGACAATTAAGTGATTGGAATAATGAAACATGAAAAAGTTATATAATCCTTTCATAGTCATCAATTAATATTACAACACTAAAATACAATTTACACTATGTACAAGCAATAAATTAATTGAAGTTACAAAATATATTAACTAATTATCATTAACACTGTTCAATAATTTGCATTATTGATCCATTCTTCAAAAAAAAAAAGTAGTGTACATTCACTTTATAATAAATTCGAAATAATAGTTCATAAGAGTGAAAATGGTAAAATAATATATACAATATATGTTGTAGAAATAAATTAAAATAGTTTGAAACGAAGAAAATTTGATTATTAATAGAGTGATAGAAAATACTAATAAAAAAGAAAATTGTAGAAAAAAAAAGTATATCACTAAATTACATATACCAAATGTACATATATTGATAATACAGATGAATTATTTTTATTTCTATGCTTCATAGATAAATTTTGTATTAAACTGTCAAACTGAATTTATTTATAAGTCGCAAGCAGTGACAGCATTTTGTTAAAAAATGCTTTTGCTGAAATATCGTGATACATATAATGAAAATCGCATAAATCTATGACGAGATAATATATACTGGTTTTTCGTTGAAGCACCTAATATTGCATTGTGATTTTAAGATTAGTTATTATTTTCTGTTTGACATAATGACGATAGAATATCCTCATACCGCCGCATATTCGTTTCAAATGTTTCCAACTGTTTCGTAAGGTCTCCAACCTGTTCTGCAAGTGTTCGTTCTTCCATAAAAGCTTGAAGCTGCGGTGCACTTTGACATTCACGATAAAACGCTCCTAAATCGCTATTGGTGTTTGTTATTGCAAACGGTGTCTTCTATAATTGTAACATATAAAAAATTCAGTCAAACATTTCTAATATGTTGAAAAGATAGGAACGTTAATTACCAAATCTACCATAATAAAATCATCGTTGGCACTAGTCATTGAACAACTACTCCTTCTTGATCCATTTTGAGAGTTGCACTTCGACGTTGTGTTATCATTCGTAAGTCTTTCATTGTTTCCATTACTGCTATCTGCAGCAATAATTGTTGATGCAGTCTTTGTACTTGTAGTCTCAACTGCCGAGGCTGGAGGAGGTGAAGTTTGTCTAGGAGTTAGTAAAGAACTAAAAGGTACATCTGGTATAACAAAATCCTCTTCATTAACAGTAACAGGCTTATTGACTACAAATGCTCCAACTTTGATAGTATCACTAAGCGATTTTGACGTTTCCTCGCTGAAATATGAACAAGAAAGTGAACAATTAATCCAAATGAAGAAAAACTAAAAAATAAGATTTAGATAACTTACCTTTGTTGATACCTAGCATGACGAGGACTCAAGTCAGAATGAAAATGATCACTTTTTAACATTATTGAATCACGACCTGTATGAGTTGGAGATATAGTCATTTTTGTCCTATATGATACTGACAAATGAATTGTCCCTACTGGTGTACACAACTGACCCACCCTAACATATTTATAATTATCACCTGCGAAACATTGCAATATTTTAAATAAACTTATAAATATTACAACTGTTTAAGGAAAAGAAATTATAATTTAATACAAAATTCTGTACCTAGTGAATGTAATTGAGGTTCTCCCATATAAATTCTATAACAAATAATAAACGAATCTGGGCCTTGTCTTCTGCTCAATTTATAAGCTGGAGTAATTCTTGATACAGACAGTAATGATTTGAGTAAAATACCCATTCTGTTGTATATTGTATATGTTACTCTCATAGTAGGATCACTTTGCTCTGGTAATATACCTAAACTCCATGCCTCCAAAACCATTATTTCATTGTCAACAGTTTTTAATGAGATTTCAATGCAAAGAGGTATTGTTGAATTTACTATCTCTCCAATTAGTAGTCTTTTAGTTTCAGACAAAACTTCTGGTACTTCGTGAACAGCAAGGTTGAACTGTGTAACAAAAGAACAAATGAAAATTATAAATATTATTTTATTATTACATTATAATGAATAATTGATTATTATGAATTGATTATTATGAATAATCAATTATTCATTGTAATGTAATAATAAAATAATATTTATAACTTTTAATACAAGCATTACATATCAATGATATTAATTATGACTTACGTATGGTCTCTGTTACAAATCTTCTATTTATATGAATTCCCCTTAAATTTTTCTCCGGTACAAAAATCAATAAAACACATTGCATAAATAAAATACAGATTCATTTATGAAATAACGATGAAAAAAGAAACGAATAAAAAGATATTAAGAAACAAATCTATGACATATATACACAGTTATAGTCATCATAAATAGAAGAGCTTACCCAATCTGTTCCAGATGAATATGGCTTGCACTTTGTGCTGACCTTTTCACCTGACCTCGACTGTATAATTATTTGCGCGGCCTTCAATGCCAAAAATCTGGTAAACTTGTCCAAATCTTTTTTGTCTTGCATAGTTAATTTCAATGTGGAAATTTCATTACTCCCTAAACTGTTTACAAAAACTAATACAACTCCCATTTGGTGCTGAAACAAAATAATACCACTGACTAACTTGTATAGACCCGACATCAAATGGAGTTTCGTGTCCCAAGATCTGAAGTACCGACCAGAAAAACAACGCTGGTTTTTTAGCGTCCTCTACGCTTAAACAACGGTGAATTAGAGAACTATGTCAAACAAAATGATACAAGTTGATTCAAGAAAATGATATTGATATTATCATATCATTATATCGTTGACACAGAACTGCATGTGGCAGATCAAATATGTACATATTAGGTTGATTTTCTTCTAGAATCTTCCAATCTATCGTTGGTCAATCATAGAGAAAAATGCGAAAATTTTATTCAATTTGATCTATGAACTTTAAATGTCGTTTTTCTTGAATAATTCGTGCAAATGTCCAAATATAGTTCTTATCTTTTTATATTGTGGATCGATTTTATTTCATATTGCAATTATCTCAAAATAAGAAGCGTTCACATGAATAACACAGCTAACTTGGAAGTAAATTAAATTTTTTTATATCTGCAATGACCAATCACAATGATCCATCTTGTGCTCTCTAAATAATAATACATCTATCATTATTAAAGCATATACTTTTGCAAATCATAATAAAATATTAATTAATGATTATTTATTATTATTCTCGACCATCAATTATTTTCTTTTTGTAATTTTCGAACAAATTATTATATAGTATTAATGTATTAATTTAGCTGATTGGTTTTATATAACAGCTAATCAAACTAGAATGTCGCTTTAAAAGTATAGTACTACTTGTATCCTTTTTTCTTTGTTTGTTTGTTCTAGGGAAATTTCTCTATTCCCCTATATTTTTTAACGATTTTTACTGCAGTAAAGAAATTCAATCATAACTAATTTTGTTTGAATCATTATACATTGTTTTATTTTGTTTTTTCATCAAATGAATTATTGATTTAAATAAATCATAAATTATGACATAATTATATTTATATTACATCCATAAAAAACAAAATAATATTAATTAAATAAAGTAAAATTAATTGAAATATTTTATAACATTAAATATCTCTCACAAATTTATATTTAATATCAAATGTATTTCTAAATAACAAATACAATTAAATTGATTATCTATATAACATTATTTATATTTTTTTGTTTATAATTTTTTAAGCTGTAAATGGTAAAAGTTTAACAAACAAAATTGTTTGAAACATAAATTTACATTCATTATAAATAAAACAAAATAACAAAAGTTATAAATTATTAATTTTAAGTTATAAATTTTCATTAAAAATCTATTATTGACATATTAAAATAATATATCTAATAGATATGTGATAACAAAAAACAGTCAAACAATAAAAATGCAAAAAAATATTTTTTGCTATAGAAACATAATCAAAAAATGCTAATAACTCTTTATCTTCATGATTAAAACAGATTTTAATAATTTAGTTTCTTGAATTATAATTTTAACATTAGAGTTAAAATTATTATCTTATCCTTTTTTTGTTACTCTTCAGATAAAAAAGAAATTATCACTAGTTTATAATCAATTTTGAGGTATACTTCTCTATTGATACATGATTTGAGGTCTATTTTATAGCTACATTGATATTCTATCTGCAATGTTCATATTTAGTGCTTATATAGAAAATGCATGATACATTTTCATAGCAATTTCATTACAGTGAAATTTTGTGAATATGTCATATGTGCTCACATATTGAATTACTTTTGTATAATTACAAGAAAATCCTAAATATAACATAAGGAAGAAGTGAGACAAAGAGTAAAAATACATACATATATGTATATTGTATATTTTTGCACAAGTGAATGATGAGATAATCAAGAATCAAGACTGATATAGCAGCATTGTTTATTGAGTTTTATATGTACAACTTTTGAATGATGTAATGGCACCATGTGACTCACCATGTGGATGTTGAATACTGACATTTCAGCTATACATTCCATTTTGTCAAAAACAATTTTGTTATAATTATAATTTTATTTTATAATTATGTTAAAGGATATATTACACACCTTGTATCTTCTTATTATACTATAAGATATCTTGTCTAAAAATTCAATTTCATTTATGTATATAAAAAATAAGAGATATACGACATATTTTTAAAATAATCCTTTTTAATTGTAGCTATTAAAAGATATTGCATCAATGATGGTGGTAAGAAATCTTGTTTAAATATAAATTTATACACGAAAATATGAGGAGCGTTAAATATTTTTTTAAGACTTTTTGTACAAAAATATCACTAGTTGCAATATAAGAAAAAAATTGCTTTTTGTAATTTATATAATGATTAATGTAAGAAAGCTGTTACTTTTAAAGTGGACTGTACAGTTACACCACAGAGCATGCCAACTGCAATGGAAATTTCCACTGAAGCAGTCGGTTACCACCGTCTTATAGACGCTTCGTGGCTGCGTCTAAAAATCAGATTACGTTCGCCAGGAAATTAAAATAAAAACTAGGATTTTTACTTTTAATCAATTAACTGTGACTAGTTAGATTTTCAGTTGTTCAGGTCTTCTAGTAATTTAATGTACATCCCTATCAAAATATGATATATGACAAATCATTTGTTTCTTTTTTGCAGTAAATTCTTATTTTCAGTATTTCTATAAATATTATTAAAATATTATTAAATCTTTACAATACTTGATTTTTAAAATGAACATACATTATTTAAACTACTATTACCTACATATACATCTTATATCTTTTATACATCTTGTATCTTTCTATAGTGTAGAATTATTCAGACTGCTGTCAAATATAGATTTTAAATATAGTTATAACAAAGTTTTATTTATTTTATGTTTAAATGTTGAATGGTATAAAAAAATCAATACTGATATGGAAAATAAAATTCAATAAAATTATTTATATCATGTACATAAAATGTACATATTAACTTCGTTGTAAATTAGTTGCAAACAGAACAAGCTGTTAATTAAATTTTAGTACAAAACGAGTATACTTTATATCCTACAAAATCAATTTTATTTTTAACTCTAATACGTATTTTACTTATGCAATAAAACTACGATTACAAAATGACAAAGATGCATTGCATTTAGCGTAAAATTATTCCATGTCAAAATGTTTATCTCACGCGAACAGGGAAATACGAAAGGGATAATGATATAATGAGGCCACAAAATGGTTATGAGATGAATAAAAAAACGTGCTTTCGACTTTTCTCGAAACGTACCGACGTTAGAAATGTTCATCTGTGTGAGAAACACGCTAGGAATTTTAAGCTCGAAATGTCGCGACGTTTCAAGAATAGAACATCGTATGGCCATCTACGTTAAGGAAAATCACTTACTTTTGACAAGAAATGTACCCGAGGGTTGAGAGGCCTCGCATGGCCTGGTCCCCTCCCAAGATAAGAAAGTCTAAGGGGCCTGGTTAGATGTTTGCTATAACGTTTGCAAGACTTCCACTCCTTTGTATTAGAAATGTACTCTATTCAATCAAGTCAGAATATGCGTTGATCGATTAACCACATGCGAAACAATATCCTATCTTTCAGAAAAATTCGCCCTTTGCAGTTTGAGATTTCTTATACATTTCGAAGGCTACAAGGGAGCTGCCATTAGAGGTTATGTTTCAATACAATAACAGGATACAAGTAAACTTTTACTTTCTTACCGGGTTATATACAGGAGAAAGTCTGCACTATTTTCGTTTAACAGAATTGCATTTTTATTTCATTTCGAGGAAAAGCCACTGTATTTCTAATCTTTAAACTTTCCTGAATCGTTCTTGAAACTAAAAGAATACTATTAATTATATACATATTTGCTTTCTTAATATTTACATAAGTTGATAAAACTGATCAAACCGATGGACAACGTTTTATCAAGCGTTGAACATTTTACCAAGGGTTGCAAAGAAATATGAAAAATCTACAATATCTTGACAAAAACATTGATAAATACGTGGGCACATTTGATATTACGTCTAATGAAATACAATATATATAATTCATGACAAAGAAAATGTGATTTGTTTCTTTAGCAAGCACGTAGATATCTGCAATGAGTGATCTGAAACATAACACATAAAATATGTTATTGCGTTTAAAATACGCGTAACGCAGGCATGCATATTTTAATCAATTCATTTTATCCGTATAAAAAGATATAATTGACAGATACTGCAAAATTTCCAAGTAAAAGATTGAGTACGATATAGTTTTTAATAATTATTTAGAATTATATTTATTTAAATTTATTTATTAAATTATTTAAAATTATCTATTTAAACAAAACTTTATTCCTTTTATAGTATAGTATAGTATTTCTTTTATTTTATATCTATATTAAACGTATTAATAGATATGAAATAGTGCAAGAAGAAAATTCTATTAGCATGTATAATTACGAAATGAAGTTCATAATTCCAGTCTGCATATTATTAAAATAAAGGAACTACACAAGCAATAGAATAGAAGGTCGAATATTTGTGAACGTACATATTCATATCCATGGCACAAAGTTTCCAACGTATCTACAACGTTAACTACAAATATAAACACGTATTATATCTGCTGATATTTTAAAAAAATAATACTAATAAACGACACACTTAAATAGCAATTATATTTAAGATGACTCAATCTTTTTCTCAGCTTCAATAGATCTTTTTATCCATGTTCTACAAAACAAAGAAATAAAAGAATAAGAAGATGGAAAGAGATAGATTTTACGTTAATAACATTATTTTAACATATTTATATTGCAAATACGAATATTCTCATTAATATTATTGTTGTGCATATGACTGATATATTTTTACATAATTGTATATAATTATTTTCAAATAAAAACAAAATTTATTATCACAGTGACGAAAGTCAGGGTTCAACCGGCTGTTGGACAGATTATTAGAATATACAAATTGTTCGTTTACAAATGTTAAGTTACATCGGTATTTTCCACCGATAATGTCAAATATTGGATAATAGAATTATATAATATATCTCCAAATAATAAGAATTTTGTATATTCGAGATACAAATATATATGCTTTGAATGTAAATTGTTCAAATTTTTTCGGCTTATGATTTGAAGTTATAAATGAAGTTACTACTTTCTAACCAGTATCGAAGAAAATTGGTTTCACAAATATCTAAACTTCCATAAAATAAAAAATATGAAATCGATCGAATTTTATCACGGGAATGGAATATGTTAACAATAATTGTAAATGATTGATAGTTCTTTGTTATAGACGTCATTGAACTTGATGGAAGAAATTATATCTAGCTGAATCCATTTTTGGATATAGTTATCAATTTACAGTATCTCTGCTGCAGTAATGAGTAAATCTTCACGCGATTGACAATCAATCTCTGCTATCCTGTAACGAGTGCAATAAATCATGACGATGAGATCAATCTGTTGAGAATGACTTTCACAAACAATAACGCAATTTCATTGCACATATGTGCAAGAAATACGTTATTATCAGACGTAAAACACGCAATACAAACATGTTGAATGATATTAACTTTTATTATAATTAATATTTTCTTATCTGCAAGTAAAATAAAACAGAGTAAAAAGAAAAGATCACTCTCGTCTTCCAAACCATTCAATAACTTTTAACGGTTATGTGCCTTGCGTAACATCCTATATGGAAGTGAAATTCTTATAATAGCACAGGGAGGAATAGAGAGAGGAATTCGTACATAGTTTCAACGGTGATCGGGAAAACAATTCGAGCAATGCAACGTAAACAGCATCATCGACATGATAGCATACTTTCTTTCGCTGAAAACAAAGTTCAAGGCTCAAGGGCGGAGCTGTTTGCACGAAAATAGTTTTGGTCCTGATCTCGATTTAAGAAAATCTGGCCTGGATACACACACGCGATTGACCCAAAGGGATTCACGTGGGCGAAGGACCAAAGCATCGTGTTACTTTTGCGAACTTTTTACATGTACCTACGTCATCATCGTCCATCTATCTTATTGCGACCTATATACAGGCCCAGCGAGCATCGATTGCGACAGCCAGGCGCCCTGAAAATTCTCTCGAGTTCTGTCCGATTTTCGCACGGTCTCTGCAATATCATTAAAGTGGATTGGCAAATGATCCATTATAAACAGATAGCGTCATTTACCGTGACATCGATGGCTCGAAATTCAATGCAAAGAACATTATTTTTATGGTATGTACTTACATACGAATGAGTTGTATTTAAATAAGTGTACTATTTATTAGGTTATACACGGTATTTGGTATGTCGTGATTTGTTTGTCCATGGATATTGATAGTGTGATCGATATGATAGATAAATCGTGTGGTGCGATTGATGCATTCCTCGTCGTGGAAAAGTTTCTATTATTTATACGTAGATAATACAAATATAATGTACGTACATTATCTCATGTACATTTTTAAAAACTTTATGCACACTCACTGATGGATAGTTGAATTCAATTGAAATGCAGTATCAATAGTGAAATGAATTGAAAGCACTTCAAATTCAATCGCGTTTTTTTTCTCGCGCTTATACAGAATCACATTATCATCCTGGAAAAAATAAATAAAATCACAGACAGTGTAACAATATCGATGCAGTGATTAGAAACCGCGATAACGTTTACAGTTACGAAGTGAATCCGCGTAATAAAATTTGAATAAGATGCCTACGAAACTTTTACAAAAGGTAGAAATTAAATGAATTATGGAAAGTTTCTCATCCTTCTCGACGGTATGTGCACGCTGTCATATTTTCCCATTTAAATTCAGCAAGTTAGATGTAACAGAAACACGAACGCGTACTTTCACCAGAAAGTTAAATTTTTAAAATAATTCCACAGACACTGCACTACAAAAACGATTGACTGATATAGATGTTTTAATTTCTTGATTCTCGATCGTCGTTTAATTAGAAATACTTGTTGCAAGTGTAAATTTGAATCTCTTTGGAACGATATGGCAATTAGAGTGAGCAACTCATCTGTAATGATACAAGATACATTTACTTCTAATAAACGCGAAATAATCAAAAGGAAAAAACAAATCATAGATACTTGTTCAAAATATAAAGAAATATGCAGAGACGTTTGATGCATGCAGCGATGTTCTCAATGTACCACACAGAGGTCACCCATATTCTTATTCCTAAGCCGAACCTAACCTATACATATTTTCATTCAAATATACCACAGAAGCGATAGTATCTCGATAGTTTCATTTTTGCCTCTTGTTCTGTCTCGTCGAATCTACGGCATGTTTCACAGATCAATGACCAGCATGACGTATGCACATAGTAGAATAAGCAGAAAAAAAGAAAGAAATCGATTGAAAACAATCGTGTTCATTCTGGTTGCACACTGGTGACGAAGGAAGCCAAGTAAGTACGAGTCTCGTGAGATTCTACCGAATGGCCTCATAGTGGAAAATTTTCTTCCGTGTGGAGACACGTTGCGAAACAGAACCAGGCGAAGTTTCACGTTACCTACGATATCAGCGTCGCTAAATCCAAATCTTGAGCGCAATATCGTATTGCCGTGACGAAGCTTCGCTGCGCCACCGGCCGACGGTTTCGTATTTGATTGTGGCGCGATCTTTTACACGACGCCGCGCGAAAATATGCGTCGCGGACGCCAGTTCACGTGTTCCGTAAGCACAACAACGTATATCTCGATTAGCCCTATCGCTGCGGATTGAAACTCTTCGTTTCGTTGCCTCGAACAATAATCTTTTTCAGAACAATAACGAACTATTGGTGCTAAAAACGATCCCAACGAATCGTCAATTGTTGCTCAATATCTTTTATTCAAAATTTCAAACGAAATGTTAGTGTATGATAAGTGTTAGAAGCGAAAGGGTAAATATAATTTTAGGTTATATAAAATCACGTTTTAAAGATGCAACGATTTATTTTGACAGGGACTATGAATTAATGTTGTTAATGTAAATTATATGTTATTCTAGGATGATTTTAATCTTGATGATATCAATTCCATAGGATATACTAATCTCTGCAATAGCGAAATACAGTTGAATTCGCTGTGATTATAATGCATTTGGTCAATATGAAAATAACGCCATTACTTTAATTTAATCAATGCTTGAAGAATGATAGTAAGACGTCATTTTTTGATACGATTAACATCTATATATTCGTAATTTGAAGTAGTTATGTATATGCGCGTAACATAAAAAATTAATGTATTAATATAATTACATGGAAGTAGTTCATATTCATGGGATAAAGGTGACAAAATGAGATATTAACCATAATATTTCGTAGGATTTAATACCTGTTCTATGTTGTCCACTTAATTTTCGCTTTTGACACGAGAGAACAAGGAACTACATTAAGAGCTTCTTTACATCAAGAGTGAAATTTTGTATGCGACAAACATTATAAACCGTGTTAATGTTTTGCGATTTTAAGACGAAACGTTGTTCTGTACATGCATAAATAATGCACAATTGTCACGCACAAAAGGACGGCAACGTCACTTCAATCGCATCTTTCGTTTTAATACGATCAGAATGCGTAACACGTATCAGCTTTTTATCCAGTCTCTCTAAGGGAAAAAAATTTTACCTGCGAAAGATCTCGTTGAGAAACACAAGCATGCAACTGTCCCTAAAGCTATTTTCAGCATTGGCGATTCATTTCAAACTTTCGTCATTTGAATTTGACCTTTGAAAATGTGATTCGAGGCAAAGTGAAATCTGCATATCGTTGCGTATACAAGCCTCTGGAATTTTCGTTCAACGAATTGGAATTAATTCTAACGGACGGAAGTGTTTCGTGGTATTGCAGATAAGAGTCACAGAGTTACAGCAATGTTATTATCTTTCGAATCTCTGTTTCCATTTTAGCCGGACTTTTCCTTTCTCCGTTATCACCAAAGAAGAATATTCTTTTTAATCTTCTCTTGGAAACCTACATATAATTCTTATCTTGTGCGAAGACCCTTATTTCTCGTCGAAATATATATAACCTCTAACTCACTAAATTAGTTATCTTTAGTCGAAATGCATTTGCTGACTAATTGTTAAAGAATTGCAATTCAGTTGTACTACGTTTATTTTTTAAAATGTTTTAGGATTTGAGTTTCAAAAATTATTATATTACTATTTGTAAATATATTGCATACAAAGTGAGTAAAAAGTGTAGATTAGGGATTGGTTAAAAAAAAACAATAAACTAATTAGTTAAATATGATACTGGAAAGTCAACAATCTTTCATAAATAAAAAATATACAAATCAAGCATAGTAAAAATAGTTTGCAAAGTAGTTTGCAAAGAGTTTGTTTTATAAAAGTTTTTTAGACGCAATGTAATTTGAGTGAAAATTCATCTTATCTATTAAAATGTCATAATAAATGCTCTACTATGAATATTTTATATTCTTATAATCATACAACTCAAATAACAAATAAGTTTGAATTTTCAAAAAACATAACTCAGATTCTAACTCTAATCTTTGCAGATTTAAACGCAATAAAAAAAAAGAGAAAAGAGAAAAGATGATGAGAAAAGAAGTTAATTAACGCCGATGATTTATGCGCCGGCTGCTATCACCGCTCAAAAATGTCGCTCAATGTTAATAATATACGCCGATAATGGTTCGACACATCGACAACGGTTCCTGTAATTGATAGAAGCGAAAGGAACGTTTGCGGTAATTCGTTCGAAACGAGGAGTCAACAATACCGTTAACCTCGATCTCGAATCGACCGAATAGATCGATACGACATTTCGACGATCAGCAATAATAACATGGACGATGGATTCTTTCTAATCGTGGACTTGAACCATGCTCGCCATATTTATTATTAAACGATAGAAAGAAATGTGTACTATACGTATGCAAAAATGAAAAAAGTAATTAAGAAACACGTTGGCCAACTGGTTTCTCGATCTTAATTCTTTATTTGATAAACGCCAGTTTAGGATTCTATCGCGAGACACGATTGAGGTTAGGTGTTATGCGAGAATAGGATCCGATTTTATTCATGAAACATAAATCTACACATTTATAGAAAAGCTGGTGTAAAGTAATAAGAAAGTAAGCAACACAAAAATCATGTTTTTTTATTTCAAATATACTATTACCAAAAACAATATACAGAATGTCAACACACAACACACGCACGCACTTTCTCTCTCTCTCTCTCTGTTATAACAGATGTACATAGCTTGTTTTTTCTTTTTTTTTTTTATTGAAATCGAATACGCTTCAATGTTTCTTCGTCACTTTTTAATCCGTATTTCATTACGAACAGGATTGTACCTCGCTCGTTATGACACGACGTTTATCGATATTGTTAACAAAAGCTGCTTACTTCACGTAAAATGATATTGCATGCATTCCAAGAAGATACAGGACAGACACACCGACGTTCGCAGCAGCAAACACAGAAGGAACTGCAAATTGAAAAGAAGAAAAAAAGAAAAGAAAAGAAAGTGATCGAGACGCGTCACTTTAATCTGCTCACACATCGACAAGGCAAGGTGTCAACGATGTTATTAACCCTGAAAAGAATTGGAATGGGCTCGAAATAAATAACGATGAGGTCATAAAATTGACTAATCTTGAATGCTGACATGTGCGTGCGTGGTTATTGTCAGTGATGTCAGTGAAATGAGAAGCGGAAAATGTGCGAAATTACCACTGTGAGGATACGTATTCGTATAAATAAATTCAACAAACAACAAAAAAATGTTGATCGTATTTTATCTTTGTGGCACGAGAATTTCAATAAGAAACCATTTGAGCTGATGTTTGAAGAACGAGCTTTTAAATTAATCGTCCAGAATTCCAGTCGTGGGCAGAATTCCAAACAAGCAGCGAGATGTCTGTTTAGGTTAAATTCATTGTTTATACGATGAGTCGGGCATAGTGGAAAAAGATGAATATAATGTACGATAATGTTTATTTTTCTATGACAAGTGCAACGATGCAGCCAAATAATGCAAATACACTTATTTTCATTCGATGGAAATTTTAGGAAATTGAGGTTATCATAAACTGTTGCGAGTTAATTTCCAATCTCGTATGAAGATACAATCGAACGTAAATACATACTTCCAATTGATGTTTGATCAAAGTATGAAACGATGCATTGTCACCAGATAAGAATTATCATAACGATACTATTAATTTCATTTTTCTTCTTATATGTTATCTCTCCGTATGTACATATGCATACGTCATATTAAACGTGCTTATCACTGGTGAAATCTGATAACATTGCGAACAGGTAAGTAATCGAATATTTTGATTTCGAAATCGTCGAACGAGACTGTTATTTTTAGTCCAACGATATTTACTGCTTCAAATATTTCTGTTTTAGAACGTTGTTCAGAGAAACCATGAATGGACGCGTATGTTGCGTAATTTTCGAGTTCAGATCGCAGCCAAGAAAACAGTTGCTCTCTCGTCATCGAGAATGAAAAACGGATGAAATAAATTGTAGTTACTCGGGAATTTCAGAATCAGTAGTCTGTGGTCTTGTGCTTTTAACGAGCGTATCATGCGACCCTTAAGTTGTTTTATTCCTTTTGCTACGGACAATTTGTCATGAGAAATAATTTCGATGGCTTGAAGAGACAATTATTGAAGAGACAGCTATTGAATTATAAAAAGTATATGTAAGGTCTAAAACCTTTTTGTTCCGAAGAAACTTTGCTACAATACCGTTACTAATTATTCTTTCTCATCGATATTCTTTTATAATTTCGATATTTCGGTATGAAATGTTATAGATACAGAGAGTATCTTCTATAACTAATAGCAGAGGCTGAGCTGTGGTTCGTTCTGATCATAGCGATGCCTGCTGGTGATTTGTTCATGAATTCCAGGATTACAGAATTCTACAGAGAATCATGGTCATTCGTCTTTCATTTTACAAAATTTCCCGTGTGAGTTCACAGAGGCGACATCGAAACGACCCTTGAACAAACGAGGCAAACGTATGTATGTACGTTGGCAAAACTTCATTCTAAATGTCGCGTT